GTCAAGTTCTATCATGCATAACTCGAAAACCCTGTAACTAATGATTTTGGTTCATGGCTTAATTTACTGCATCTGTTAAACTTTAAAATATGACTCATGATCACACCCAGACACTTTTGTCATTTAAACATACTCTTACTAATAGAGCAAATATTATATCTTAAATGCATTCTGAAAGTTGCATGATGTATACACCATAGTACAGGTACTGACATAGTTTGTAGGTGTTGAAATTAATCTATGTTTAAACTTAATGCTACTAAAATATTTTCATCATTATAGAATAGCAGCAGTTGTTCCTGGCATAGGAACAGTATTATTGGTAGTAACAGAGGTGTATCTTACCTCGGTCTTTGCTTTATTTCTGGTTCCATATTTATAATATCATCATCAAGTCCAAGATCATTGTCTTCAGATTTTCTAGGCAAGTCATTGTTATCAATCATACCATCACTCAGATAGGCAAACGGGGATTTGGGTTTTGTCTATAATATACACAACAAGAAGAGATCATAAACGTTACCATCATGTTCCATAATCAGTGCGAAGGGTTGCTTTTCAAAGGGAATGTAAGATTTTTAAAATGAACTGGAACTTTGAAGGTTTCTAGACATCAAGAATGAAGCATGCAATTCAAGTAATGATATAAATAGAAAGACAATAATTGAACAATGTTTTATGCAGCTTACCTTTGTGATATACTCAAAGTCTATAACATATTCTGGCAAGACTAAGTCATGGTCAAAGTGGAACCATTCACATTGACGGGCAGTACATTCACATACTGGTGATGTACCACTTGTACCACTGGACGGAGAACATTTCTCATGTTTCTTAGGACGGAATACTGAATCAGCTCTAGGGTACATTTGTTTATGTATCCTAAAAATTAATATATATCATTTGTTAATTTGTTGCGCATACATGTACATGCAATTTGGTACATTTTAATGAAATTGTATGTGATCGATTTCTGAATTAAAAATATTTTGTTCTTTGAAATATTGTATTTATTGAATATTATTCCAGTTCTAAAGCAGTTCAGTATCACAAGCCAGATGTTGACAGATAAACAGAGAAGGAGAATGACGAATTCTTTGTGTCTCATATAAAAAAAGCAAATCTGCTTACAACTTTTATATTGATATTAGCTAATTGTTTTAATTATTGTGAAATGCATAGTGAGCTAAAAAAACAACATGTACTTGCATTTTGACATCTAACGCTGGGGTACTTTTACCAATATATACTTTACACACAACCAGTTGACCATGTCTAAATGGACAGGGATCAGACAATGATTTACTTTTGGCTTCTCTCAACATGAAATCAATGCGAGGTCTTTCAGAAACACACAGACTATTAGACAATGGCACAGCACCATCACGCCAAGTTTCTGCAAAAAAAACACATAGTGGTATAGTGGTGAAGCTACAATTATTGTGTTACAATACAACATGTACATTGTTTGTTGCTTTCATTTATATTTCAATGAACTAATTTACTGAATTTGCTCTTAATGTTTACGTAAATGAAAGAAGTATCATTAATCCAGTGTACAATAAATGATATTGTTGGTTTAAAGGTGATTTCTATTGGAGATAATAATAAATTATTAATTAATATACTGCTAATTTCAACAATCATGGATGTCTCTTTATTTATGCATACATACATTTGTATGTTGATAAAACCAAGTTGAAAGAGTTTCAAACATTAAAATGTTTTTGTTGTATCTAAAGAGAAGGATTGGATTTGTCTAAATGACAACTACCTTGTGTTGGGTTTGCTAAAAGCAAAAAAAACTATATCTGTATCCCAACTGAAATGTACAACTGAGTTTTGGTTACCAGATTGATGCCAACATGTTATTACATGGTCAGATGATTTGAAAAATATCCTGAATCGATATTATTTTAAAATAAATTGCAGAACAAACCCTCAACAATCTAATGGAAGAAAACTTTGCTCTTTTTTCTGCTTGGATACAGTAATTTTACGACAGTACAAGAGAATAATATGAGTGAAAGCACAATCGACCCACATTTTATTCTTCAACAGCGATAAATTACTAAAATCATTTTGATTGCACCTCAAACGCAAAAGTATTAATAAATAACATGTGAAAAAATGTATGCTATGTGAGGTATATTATCAGTACTACATACTGATGTCATACCTGGTAGGTTTCTGGATCCATCGGTCCTTCTTCCAACACTCTCATCAATTCATTTTTACCACCTGGTAATTCAGGATCCCACACAAAAAATAAATACTCAAGGAGTTTCTTAACTGACTGACCCCTGTAATCAAATAGAAAAGGCACATGTATGCATTCAGTGATGGCAATACTAAGCAAATGTTGCTTTTAGAAAATATTAATATAATTCACCCAGTACTTTATTGACTTACTTGCTGAGTGTGGGGGAATCATCTTTATCCAATAAGGCTGACAACTTCTCATCAAATTTCAATCTCAATATTCTGTTATGTACTTTAGTAATCCTGTGAATCTTAATTCCTAAGACACCATAATCCTTGTAATCCGCGGCACAAAATCGGGACAGGATTAAGTCATGGCAAGAAGTGAACCTTCAGGAAAACAAAAAATGAAATAATTTTCATTAAATTCTTTGTTTTAAACACATAGATACAAGAAATGATAAATTATGTTTATTTGTGCTATGTATGTAGCATGGCCATATCTCTATCAAATAGCAATGTGATGCACTATCCTGATGTCAAACAGACCTTGTCAACACATGCAGATATATATCAACATTTGATACAATTGAAATTTAGCTTACCAAACATCAGCTGATCGTCCATCTTCAAATCTCACATTACCACCAGTTTCTAACTCTGTTAGCAATCTACGAACTGTTACATCACAAACCTGGCGCATACGAGACACACTCTCATCGTAGCATTTCTCAATCCTAAGAAACAAACAATGCAACATAGATTGAAATGCTGCAATATTCACAAACTGTATGTTAATTATTATGATAAAAAAGGCATTACTTACTCCTCCACTTTATGATAGTAAAGTTTAATTCTTTCTTTCAACGCCTGCAGTTTTTTTTTAAGTTTCTTGGTTAATGACTGCTTCCCTTCTTCAATGGTATCGCTTTCAGTACCACTACCATGTTGCTCAATTTCTTCATCTTTACTACATATGTCATCGTCATGGTTTCCTTTGGATCCTCTTATCTCATCTCTCTCCCGTTCAATCTAACAACAAAATATGTATAGGTATTATTATAAAGGAATATTGTTGAAAAAGTTAGAAGTTGAAACTGTGCCAGTCACATACCAGAAAATAGTATATACCACTGTGTTACATAGAGATGAAGAATACCAGAGTCATCAATTGTTACTCACTCACAGCGTTCCAAATGCCAAAGTATTTTTTTGTAGTTTAGGGTAATTAAAAGTATATATTCTAATTGTTTAATTTTTTCAATACTAGTATGTATTAATGAACATACAATAGGTAGGACATGACAACTGAACTCACCACTTTGAGCATCTCTGTAAGGTATTTTACTCTATCATACGGTAACTGACTAAGTTTTGTCTTTTCTTTTTGAAGACACATCATCAGTTCTGTCTTGTTTCTACTGATTGTCTTTACCCTCATATTGTAATACATTTTCTTTTTAACAACTGTGGCCTGGAATATAGAAAATTGCATAGAACATGTGTGTTGAACAATATTATTGCTTACCAGTAATGAAACAATGTCACAGGGTGTTACAACATAGCTGAGACTTCAAATAAAAAATGTTATTTTAATTTCAGAAATCATAAAAAGAAACAAGAACAATACAAATCTATAGCCGCATTAAAGATATGAAAAGATTATTAGAGCATTTTGTGTTGCATAACAGAAGCCTTGTGTCACATTAGCCAACATCACTTACCTCAGCCATTTCCCTGATGTTCTTATTAGCCACATCATATGTGTCAAGCCTCTCCAATGTCGGCAAGTGATACAAAACATGAGTGGAGTAATTGCACAACAAACAAACAGGATTTGGTGAATATTGCGGGTCTTTTAGTCCAAGAAATTTCAAGTTTGGTAACCTGACAAGATTTGTCAGTTCCTGGAGAGAGAAAACATCACTGTATCAGTCTGTTCAGTACTTGCGGAATTCACAAAAATCACAATGAATTTGTGCTTATTTGTTCAAGTACAGAAAACAATTCCAGGAATCTATTCATTTACAAAAATTGAGCAACATTCAAATGCATTTGGATATTACACAACACTCTGTGCTCTATTGATATTACATGTATACCATTTAATTACTATTGATATTCAAAACATCTGAGGGGAGGGTTCTCATCTTACCTTGAATGAGTAAATTTTATTTCCAGAAAGATTTAAATGTTCCAATCTGAGATGAGAATCCAAGGAGTGACCTAAAAATTGACATAAGAGACATTCAATATAACAGTACAACAATTGTCAATATGAATACTAACAAAGATATGTGTAGCATCTTTATGGGTAAAGTGTACATAATTTGAATCTAAGGTGTATTGTTTTACATGAAATAAAATATATTACCCATCTGATTCTCCAATGCCATCTATCAGATTTTAAACATCCCAATCTAAGATCATATAAAATCCAATGACAACCTTTCTAATCCATCTGTCTATTACAAGTGAAATATCTGTTTTGGATATACTTACAGATACTGGTTTAAGAATGCATTATCTCAACTATGGTAGTAAACAGCTTCACGTACCTATTTTATCAATCTTATTTTCAGCCAAATTTAATTCTTTGAGATATACAAGTCCACTTAAACCCTAAAAATAGATCATATATACATGTATTTATTTCAAAATTTTACAACATTAATATCCAAAAAATAGATAATCTCATATATTCAGTACCAAGCCATGAAAGTGGTAAAATTCAGTGGTAAAGGTGCATAATTTCTAATACCACCACCACCACCAGCAGTATGTAACAAAGTTTTCTGTTCTGCAGCGGCTCCCATACAAGGTCTCATGAGTTCCATTGAACTCCAATTCTCATCATTGTCAAATAAATTGTCAAATTAGTATGCACACAGTATAGATATCTGCATACTGAATGAGCTATTTTGCATAATATCAATACATGACTAGAGATTTAGATGGCCAATAGCTATTTCTGGTATTTTTTCAAAATGTCCTAAATTTTGTTCAATCATTTCAGACAAATTTCTGTTAAATAACTGTTATTACATATGAGAAATAATTAAAAATGTTCCATGATGACCAAAATGCCTTCGGATAATTTTAAGACAACTGAATCTCTGATGACAGTCATTATTGACTAAAATACAATAATAATGTTAGCAATACAATATCTTATCACAAATACAATTAATATCCCCAAAGTCTGAAAATTTACATAATCCTACCTCGATAACTGAGATATTATTCTTGGCAAGCCATATTACTTCAACATGTTTCAGTTGTGAAATGTTTTCTATCTTAGATATTTGGTTATCATATAGATAGAGTTTTTCAAGTCTCTTGCACTCCCCAAGGCCTTCAATCCTCTGAAGAAATAAATGAAATAACAATTACACAATTCAGATATATTGTAAATGCGTGAATATTTCACTGGGTTTAAATTTCAATATTTCACTTGAAATCCACTAAATTTAATCCATGAAAAAATACTCAAAACAGTGACATTCAAATCCTGGTGAAATGAAACAGGTGTAATCCTCGAGGGGGGGGGGGGTATTTTATGATTGGTCTCAAACAACATTAACAATTAGGAATCAAATAGATTGTCCTTTTTCAGGTCATTGGCTCTTTTTACAAAGGTTATGTGAAGATTATCTGCTTGATAAGAGTAATAAAGTGTTCAGTTAGAAGGGTGATGAGAAGAGATTCATAGAAAGGAGACATTCATTCAGTAGTTTGAATGCAGACTAATGCATGGATTCACTCACCATCACAGGCAATGCATGCTAATACGTTATTTCTACTCACCTGTAGCTTACACTCACAAATCCACAGTTCTTTAAGTTTTGGGCATGATGTTAAACCAAACATCATATCGATGTCTTGTGCAACCACACAAAGAGTTGCCAGATTTGGAAATCTATCCATCCCAACAATTTTGGGGAAACCAGAAAAAAACATCTCAATGTGTTTGACATGTTCTGCATTGCCATTCTCCAATCGGTGGTACTTTAACCCGTTGGATATACACTGTGTGGAAACATCAATGTTCAGTTAAATTTTACACTGTGTGATGTGCGTGTGCTTTCAACGGAATGACAGAGTAAAAAAACACTCAAGCCATAAAAAAAAAAAAAACTGGCACTGACTGACTTGTTTACTATTCAGAAAGCTGGTCAAACCATTGTAATATCATGAAAAGTTCATTACTAAAAACTTCAATAACAACTACATATATTGTAGGTATAACTCACAAACATAAATGTTTCATTCTTTTCAGCATTATTTTGGAGTACAATAAATACAGGCTGAAGGGGGTTCTAATATACTGTACTTTTTTTTAACCTTTCTACCACCAGTCCTCTCTTTTCATCACAAATTCATGTAACAGTCCTGTTTATAGTTTGCACTTTCCTCTCAGAAGATTGGGACAAAAATAACCAAATTTTTTTGAGCAAAACTGAAAATTGACTCAAATTTTGTCTGTTGGCTCTAAAATTAGGGTTCATTTCCAGAAATATTGAAAAAAATGCAGAAAAATTTGGGCGCGAAAGTTTGGTGGTAAAAAAGTTAATGGATGTTTTTCAGTCAGAGCATTAGGCACAGCAATGTATGCATGTACTCATAGGTAAAATAATACCTTACATCTTACATGAGCACATACATACATAAAATAATATATAACATTACCACTTCTTTAAGAATTTCCTCCTCTTCCACATCAGACACACCATTATTGACCGGTCTCCCAGCACCATGACTGGAGGGTGTGGTCAGTGACATATCTTATGTGATGTTATCTCAATATTTCAATCATCGCATTGTACCATCTTAGGAAGTTATTTACTGTAAATAATAAGAATTGATTAGTTAATATATTGCTTCATATGAAACATAAAAAAAAACTAATAATCAATAATTAAGCTTTTTTTCCTGTCCCTAATACATTCACTTTATTTCTGATGTAGCAAGTTCTGATGCCAGAGTTTTTTAAAAACTATACATGTACCTGATTGTATTTACATTCTGACAGTCAACACAAGCAACAAACACTTACTGACTAGACAATGTGAAAATAGCAACAATAAGAAAACAATTTTTCATTGTTGAACTTTTAGTTTGACAAACTTTTCAAAATAATAGCGAGTAAAGCGAAAGCAGACAAATGCCACTTTTGGAGCGAGCTCTACAGATAACATGTGTATATATAGGGGATAATATCCTATCTATCCTATCCTATCTAAATACCCTAAGAATTTAAAATGATGCACTTCCAGTCTATGGGTGACACCATGCACTTGCATAAATTAAGCAAAGTGAGACAGCTAAAACATATTGCTCAATGATAAGGTAATCTTTTTTCTGACAATGAACTGAAAATAGTATTTTGAGCAGCAACAACATCCAAGTCATGTATAACATCATATTGAATCCCACTCAACTCACATGATGAACTAATAACTTGGCATGCTCAGTTCACACGCTTTAATGTTCAACAGTTTTACTTTTAGTAAATCAACTGCTCTGCTGCACTCGCTTGTCAGGCACTGCCTGCTACATATTAACTTTTATTACATTTTTTTCATCAAACCAGAAATGTATCATAATTCTTTACAGAAAATATGGCAGTGACAGTAGGAGCTACAGACTACTATAAATTAACATGTAATTTTCCCAAACAGATTTATGAAAACTGTGTCTTCATATTTATTTTACTGGCCATGATATTTTTTTTTTTTTTTTTTATTAGGATATTTTTTTTTATTAACGCATAAAATCCTTAGGAAAGGATAAAAAGGGTCTTACAGAAAGAAATTAAAAAAAAACAAAAAAACTACAATCTAAAAAAGAAAACAAAAAATAAAAACTTTTCTAAAAAAAAAAAAAAAAAAAAAAAAAACAAGTCAAAAACAAAACAAAAATACATTTTGCACCCAAGGGGGAATACAAAATATAAAAGGAACACAAAAGGGGGCCAAAAACCCGGAAAGTTGTTGCGGTTTTGTTCCAAACCTGTTTTTTAAAAAAACAGCTAAGGCTGGGGGCTAAAGTAGGGTTGCCATAACCAAAATGAATTTATTCTGACTATTTTCTTTATCAAAATTTGAAATTTTATTTTGGGCAGCCAGGAATATTTGCCCCTAGGGGGACGGTAACCTGGACATTTTCTTTACAAAATGGTTGCTCATCCTCAACTATATTT